GGGGACGTCGTAGACAAGTGTGTCTAGTTGACACTTACGAGATAAGTATTATACTCAGTTGCTTGAAAGGGAATTCAGCCCGATCTTGCTCGTGTCAAACGGCGACTATACGAATACTGCTCTACTTTAAAGGTCAGAGTGACTCTGCCCCCGAGCATCGGAAATCATGCCCTTGTATACCCAAAAATCTGTACTTTTTGGTGGTGGGAGCCCTGATTTTCCGATGAGAACGAAACGCGTTCGTTTATTTTATCTGAAGGGGGTGAGCCCTAGGCGGATGTCTCGGCGTGTCTGCCAGTCTGTGTACGTAACATAAATGACCGGGGCTACCCAATGGACGTGATCCAATATTTTTATTAACCCTTTCGTTACTGTTGGCGCCTATAGGCGTTTTGAAAATTTACTCACACTGTACAGTTCGCGCCTTTGGCGCGCTTCTAGTCTAATTTAATCCTTAATTCTATATTTCAAGTATTTCCACCTTAATTCAACGAAACGAATTTCAAAACGATACGGCCAAAATAAGCATTTAAACGCGTAGACGTCCCTCTGTCATATTAGCGATACACTTTTTTTTTTTACCGTCATTTGTTCTGAGTATAACTTAAAAACGTAACAACGGACAAGAAGCAAATTCGTACCATATTGTTATATGAATTTAAATTAGGACGTAGAGCCGCGGAAACTGGCCGCAATATCAATCATGTATTCGGCGAAAGCACAACTAATGATTATAATGCATAAAAAGTTATTTGTGGAACAGCCAAATTTGGTAAATAGTAAGGGGCCAATACTCCTACACGATAACCACAATTCACGATTCGGAAGATACACGAATTGGGTTATGAAACATTAAAACACCCGACTTATCCCCTGCAGATTACCATTTTTTTAAACATTTCGATAACTTTTTGCGAGAAAAAATCTTCCGCGATAAAGAGGATGCTGTAAATACCTTGGTGGAATTTATTAATTCTAGAACACCTGATTTTTATTGTAATGGAATAGGAACTCTTGCAAAACGTTGGAAAAAGTGTATAGAATCTAATGGAAATTATTTCGATTAAATAAATTGCAAAACTACGCGTTTTTAAATCTCATAGTTCTGATGATTTATACTGAATTATTTTACATATGTATAATTATTAGTTAGCCGCAGTTGAACAATTTTCCGAGATACGTTCTATTGCAAACAATATACAAAATTACGTATTAATCATTTTTCTGTTATATCTTCTGTTATATCTTCTGTAATAATCTTCTTAATTGTACATATAACAAAGGTACGATAATTTATCACGTTGCAATTTATTATTAGAACTGCTACAATGCTTTTTTAAATACTTGTAGCGTTCTGTCCCATCATCGCTGAATTGCATTCTAAACACAAGTATGTTTATTCAACATTTATGGTACACGATTTAATAAAATGACGAGAGTATATTAAGTCAGCAGTTAATTTAGTGACGTGTTCATACACGTGCAATAATACTAGCATTGGATGACGGATTAACGTCATTCCCAATGTTTTCTAATCCCATTCAATACTTTAGTCTAACGTTCGTCACACGTCCGACAATATTGCATTCTGATATTGGAAAAAGTCAAAGTTAAGCATGCAGCGTTAGAAAGATAAGCAAATAGAAATGGACCGTTACTCTGGATTCTGCTTTCAGTTCTATGGAACCGTTACTTTTCTATCAAGGAACAACAGAATTGTCACAAATTCTGTCTAATAAAATTGTTGCTTGAAAATTTCTCATTTACAGTTGTAACTAGAGATGTTACTTAAGAGATGCCCGGGTACCCGGGTTACTCGTGAGATACTCGGGTAATCAGAAAGTACCCGAGTATCTCATGAGATGAGATAGCTGAGAGTAGATATATATTATTCCTCGACTGTTTCGGCAGAGGTTTCAAAACAATATTGTGTAGGGTACAGATGCACTTTGACACGTCGGTATCGTTGCATCGCTGTCGCGGTGGTGGCCACCGAGATTTCGACTGTCTTATGTACATATTCGAGTACTCGTGAGATACCCGGGGCGATCGGGTTATTTTCATCTACCCGGGTATCTCATGGGTACTCGAATACCCGGGTATCTGAGATTCCCTGTTAAAAGTAATAGCCCTAGTTGTAACAAACGTACGATGAAGTACTTTCGATATGTATAAAGTTACGTTACATGTACATGTATATACAGGGTGTTCCATTTAAATCAATCGTCACGATTACTTTCGGAACTGTTAAGGATACCGACAGATTTTTCATGTAAACGTTAAGTAGCTTCGGGTATAGAAAACATATGAAGATCAAATATATTCTTTTTTCAAGGCATTGATCGATACAGCTTGTTATTCCCTATAAAAAAAGTATTAAGGTGTTAAATGAGCCATTTCAAATAAAAGGTTTCCCAATTGTTGGATTGGACGAGGCGGGCGTGTTAAATTTCTACCGAAATCATCGGATTGGCACCGTAAGATTCTTTTTTTTTTTGTGAATATTTGAAAAACGTAATTCGTCAAGGCAAATGTACCATGTACTCCGAACGACTGAAGCAGAAGATCCTGCAGGCATGTTAGCAAATTTCTAAAGAAATGCTACAGCATCGTATTACTAGTACCACTTCGCAATTAAAACATCTTTTAAACTAATGGCTTTTTGCATAAATAGCTTCATACTTTTTCACAGGGAATGATACGCTGATTAGTGTATTAAAAACTGTGCTTGTACAAATTTGACCTACATATCTCCTCTATGCATCCACCTAAAAAACAAACTACTCATATCAAATTATGTCTCTCTCAAGATCATTCAACTTTCATTTGAAACATCTGTCAATATCGTGAACAGTTTCAAATTCATTCGTGGAAATCGATTTAAGTGAGGCACCCTGTATATGTATACCTACACTATCGGCCGAAAGTTTGGAATCTCCTGCCAATTTATATTAATATTGAATCTGCTACTAATTCTTTATTGATTTGAAATTGATGTTGTGGAGATCAATAGCGCTTTATCTCATTTCGATTGATTTTAATAATAAAAGATTCGTTGGAAAATAATTATAAATGCTAACATTTTTGGGCAATTTTTGTGCAACTTGCGATGCACAGTGATTCGAAACATTTGGCCGGTATTGTATATGTATTATCTGTTACCTCTTATTGTACAACTGTACCTATATACAGTCAGGGACAGAAATATGTGGACACCTTTCAAAAAAAGAATAACTTCTTTAATATTAGACCAAACGACTTGAGCTGTTTTAAAATATTGGAAAGATTAGCTTACGAAATGAGGTACAATTAGTCGGAATCTCGAAGAAAATAAGGAAGGTCGCTTTTAACAACTTTTGTATCTGAGCCCGTAATAAAAAATTAAAAAATACGTTTTGTAGATTTATGTCAGTTATATATCTACATGCTGAATGTTTCGTCGAAACGGTTAAAGATGGTGAAAATCGCAGTTTTTCACGGCTTTTGGCTTATAACTGTAATAAATCTAAAAATTCTTACATCTTTCGATGCCTATCCCTTGTTTCTGCATCTAGGTAAATTTCGATGAAAGAAATATGTAAAATGCGAAAAAGCACACGAAATAACCGAAATTGTCATAAAATAATCGGATTGTCGTAACTTGACCTGATTGGCACCTATACACATACTGTCTACTTTCATACGCAACATTTCATTACTCCTAACTGACACAAGGTCATTCGTCTGTAATTTATTCACGATGTTCTTCGATCAGTTGCTTTTTGTAATGTAAGAGGAAATAGAGCTTCGAGATACAATTAGAACCATTACTAATGAAGGTTTTCAAAAGCAAATGCATTTTTTCTTCATGGAACTTGAAAGCTGTTGAAACCTTTACTTTCAGATCATGGTTCATTGTCTTACCATTTGATTCGATATAAGTAATTTCAAAGGTATCGTTCGATTTATTAAGATTGTTGCTATTATAATGTTCTATCTACTACCGTAGTAATACATAGTAATACTACCGAAGATAATGTTAATATATATATATACACACATATATATATATATTTATTCAGTCTCACAGCCATGAATAGGACTTGGTTTACAATAACCTACGTTTTATAAAACTATCTTATTCTCTCATTCGATTCGTTCTCTCTCTCTCTCTCCCATTCACATTCCCTCTTTAACCCCTTAACCTATGATTTCTTTTCTGACTATGCATATAAGCGTCGGCCATTTTGTTTTAGTACTGTATCAGGTAACGAAAGCTAATCTGTTACAGATTAAGTACATTTAGGAATCCTTAATCTTACAAATTAAAACGAAAGTTAGGATTACAATGAATTTTTCTTACTAATATATCTATTTTTGCTCACATCTTCACCAGAACCTCTGTCACGAGTCTGACACGTTGTTGTAGGTTAAAGGGTTAATATTCTCTTTGGTGTTCTCAGCCAAACTCTCTTTCTCCTTTTCTTTTCTTTTTCAGCTTCTCGAGCCACTCATCTTTCTGTCCTGTCTCCCACTCACTACGTCTTCCATCCTGATATCCCTTTCGGTTTCTCTGCAGTCCCTTGTCAAATGTTCCAGATCCGAAGATAATGTTAATAATACCGACGATAATAAGAATGAAAGTTGAGAGTCGCTAATAATTCACAGTAAAGCAATTAGAAATGTTTATGATATTGAAATGAACATTTTACCAATTATACCTTATATACCAGGGGTGGTCCTAGTTAGGCTCTAAATTATAAAAAATTATTAAAAAATTGAACTGATTTTTCAGTTTCTCACTGTTTGTTTTGTTATCAAAGATAAATAAATCGCTCTTTCAAATATTCCTTTCTGAAATGTGGCTTCCAAAGGTAGTGTAGCTGGCCACCCCCGTTATATACGTACCTATAGTAATACTTTGACCAGTGATCAGGGAGAACACTAATAAACTAATATTATAAAAACAAATAGTGACACTGTAAAATGTATTGATGTATAAACTTTTATTTTAGGTGATCATGATTACAAGATATCGATGTCCGAACATATTTCTCACAGTTTTCTATTTCTTTCTCCAGGTAAGCAAATTTAAAATGTTTAGATACTAGAATGTAATGATTTTAAAAAATATAAAATTGCTAAGCGAACCACTCTATCGCACCATATATTCGCACAAAATTAAAACAAGGTCATCGATCTTCCAAACTCATTGTTTAAACACAAACTCCTTAATTTGGTTAAATATTTCTATATTCGACGTTGAATAAAATTATGGAGCGAATCTAATAACAAAGAAACAGCCCTGGCTCCAAAAATTTTTGAACTTTTCTTAGCTTATCTATTTACGTACATATAACATTTCGAATATTTTTTCCATGATTTAAACTATTTTCTTAGCAAACGATAATTGAATCCTCTTCGATAAATATTACATTGATTTGATACAACGAAACATGCATTTCTAAGAAAAATGGAAGATTATTGCGTACATTTGCATTCGATTTATATTAAACGAAACTTCTATTAATCATCGATGTTAACTTGCAAAAAATACTGATTGGTGATGTAATTTCGCATGGTTAGGTGGTTCTTTTTCTGCCACTGGCAAAGAAAGTCTACCGCAGTAACACGTTTTACAAGAGCGGTGACCCAAAATTATCAAGCACAGCTGTCAGTTGTGCGATTTTTTTTCACGCTATCGCATATTATAACACATGCCGGAATGTTTCGCTTATATTACGAAGGGTGCACACTTTTTGTTTGCGGATTGGAGATTAAGCGACGGTGAGAAAGTGATATATTACGAATGTTCAAGAATTTGTAATCGGCCATGCTTATAATTCATTTATCTGACATCTGACTCATACAAGCACAAGCATAACATTCGGAATCGTTCGGCTTCGTGGCAATTAATTAATAATAAATTAACGCGCATTTCACGAATATATTTCAACTGACAATACTTAACGTACTTGAGAATTGTAACATCTATCGTATTATACGACTGTTTCGTCTGTCATTGTAAGCAAAACACTTCGTACTATTTTTGCAAACAGATCACAGTGTTTAGATTTACAAAAACTAACAATTCCAAAGGTATCTAATCACATTCACGTAAATGGGCACGGGCGTCTAATGGATCCGCCGGCTCGAAACAGCATGTGGCGTTTTGGCTACCCAAATCCTGTCAATTACAACGATAATGAACTGTTCTGTGGCGGATATGCAGGTTCGTTAGTTGATGATAATTATTTTTATATTGGGATAGTAAGTGAAAGATAAACAATAACGAAGCTTGACGTACGTGCATCGCGAATAAATTACGGTTGGAAATCTATATTATGTCACACAAGAAAATTCAACTCGTCCAGTTTAAAAGTTACGCATACAGAAGAGAAATTCTCTAGCGGAGGAGTGTTTAACGTATCACGAAATACTATTTCAATGTTGTTCCTAAATTTGTTGAGAGGTTATTATAGGCCCGTTATTCTTTAGTACAATGGGTGGAGAATAAAGGCGAATGTGGAATTTGCGGTGATGCTTATCATCTGAAAGAACCGAGACCACACGAAGCAGGCGGTGAATACGCAAAAGGCACTATTGTGAGACATTATACCGTTGGTCAGGTAATTTGTCATTTTCATTCATTACTATAATCTTTAATTATGTCCATTGGATTAACTTACAGTTGTAATCGTTGTCTACGAGAACATCCTTCCGAGAAGTTTACGTGTGCACTGGAAAAGCAACGACTTCGTTCGGTTATTTTCCTATACATTTCGTTTTTTTTACAGTTGATAGCATAATTTCTTGGTACACGCACATTTTAAATTAACTAATATCGAGCTTAATACTACTCGGAATTGTTCGTTTTACTTTCCACAAATATTTATTACCTATACAGTTTACTCGATAAATTGGATAGGTAGTATGAAATATTAATTAGTATATTTCTACTTTTGTACATTTATACAACAAACGTGTGACTTATTATGTGGAATTTAAATAGTGCTCTCTATGAATTTACGTGTATTATACGTACTTCGTAAATGCACGGTGTAATTTCAAGTGCAATTTCGAATACTTTTAAAGTATGATATCTATGTAAATATCTATTTACAAAAAATAATACTTGGGTGAGAATTTGATTTGATAAAAGCCTAGCTCTGTTTTACCCTCTGATTTATGATTTCATGGGAGACATGTCAGATTTACCGGAGCAAAACAAAAAGAGAGCACACAGAAGCACATTTCCTTATCCGTAAATTTTATTTCAATAGAATAGAACTTCCATCGTGAATATTTCAATAAATACTCATTTTAGACATATTACACATTAACCCTTTGCGTCTTTCTGATGCACGAACGTCCGCTTAGAGGTTATGGTAGCGCGCGAAATGCGACACTTTTTCTGGACCTTTTGGACATATCAACTTACGAAATTATAGAATTTAAATTAAATTATAAATAAACATAAGCTATAATAGCAATAAACTATTGTTTAGATGCAAACTTTTCGCGACGGCTTGGCGACGTGGGAAAGGGTTTCAACCAAAATTCGCGTCGATTCACCTCGGTTACGTCGTTTTATTATTGACTGTTACGCCAAGGACTGGTTACACTATTTTCTATAATTTGAATTCGTTACTGGTCTCTTGGTGAGACTACTATTTACTGCTGTCTCTTGTTGAGACTTCTATTTTGTACCGTGCCTTGTGGCCTTCTATGTTGAACTTCTGTGTTGGACTGTCGCAAGCCTTCGTGGTCCGTCTCCAATTTTCATTACGAGCTCAGATAAAAAAGTTGCGAAACGTGACCTTTGCAATTCAAAATTTACCATTTTCAAAATTTTTTGTACACGTCATCTAGTAAACTAATCTTTCTAACTTCTCAAAAAAAAAACTCAAGTCGTTTGGCACAGTTTTAAAAAAGTTATTCCGTTTTATGTGGTGTCCAAATACTTATGGACGGTAGTGTACATAGATATGCATTCACGCAGTCCTAATTTTTAAATCCGTAGTTCTTGAGAGTTTTCTCAATACTCTTCTTTACATGTACTATTGTTAATTTTAGGACCGCGTCATATTTCTTACATATTCGAAATGTAGAACGACAATTTTGCGATGCATACACGCAGAAAAAAAATCGATGATTTTGTATATTTTGTCATTTGATTATAAATATTTATACGAATTGTTGATTTAACATTTCTAGATAGATGAGGAAACTAGGAAACAACAGGTAGACATTGTACAATCATATTTCAAATTCTATGCATACTCTGTATTGGCCTGTCATGTTCTTACAAAGAACATCATTCAACCGACAAATGAAACGCACAGATATTGTTTAAATTTTGTATACAGCTAGTGAGCGTAAAAATATTGGGCACGTATTTTTGTCATATCCAGGTGATTACAGTTCGATGTCTTTTTCGCAGGCGATGTAAGATTAGGTTTTAAATTGTTTTATTGTTAACTGAACCTGTAATAAGACCAAATAGTGCGAGTAGGTATTAGATTTTACAACGTGCTTATGTACGCTCGTTTTGGGAAAATAGGTAAGAAAAGAGGCAACTAGAAGCCTTTGTTTTGTTTTGAGATTTCATAGAGGGAAAATATCCATGCACTAGAAAATAATAAATTCGTTGCTCAATTTATTCGAATGATGAAAAATACGTATTTGTGACTCTTATTTTCTACTTTATATTAACAAAATTTTGTAAAAGATAATTACATTGTATATAGAAAATATTTGCAGATGCTTTGTTAGCCATAGTGGCGCCATCTATGATGTTGTTTAAGAAATTTTACTTAGAATGGAATAACTTTCTTACGTAACACTTTTTTTTTTCATTTCTGCTCTTCTCGAATTATTTGAGTTGTTACAATAATTTTGCAGCTATCTACTTTAAAGGGATATTTCATCTAAACATGAATTTTCGTCGGTAGAAAAGGGTACATGTGTACTTACATGGTTAATATTTTCAAATTCTCTAGTTGTAAGCAATGTTTTATAAAAATCGGCGTATCTCAGTTGATTGATGTACATTTTACATTTGATTGATGTAACATTTAGTCTTTCCTTATTATACTTCATTATACTAGTTTTCTGTATGATATTTGAATTCATAGGATATCGATGTTGAAGTTGAACTTACGGCAAACCATTTAGGACGATTCGAAATGTATCTTTGTCCAAACAACAATCCAAGGAAGAAGGCAACCCGAGAATGCTTTGATAGGTAAAAAAGAGACTTCTACGATACCGAATGTGTTATTAAACTAATTTCTAATAAGCGTTAGAATTGAAAGTAGAAGAATAATACTTACTTTTTCGAGGTATCCGTTATATATTTCCGGGACTCGGGACGTTCGGTTCGAGATACCAACAGATACCGAAAGGAAAGCTATATTTCGGTATAAGGTAACTTTACCAGCCTATGTCACCTGTACACAATGTATACTACAATGGAACTATTACACTGGTTTGTATTATAAACATTCGCTTAGATCAGCTTGATTATAATTATCTATAAACTATTTCTATATTATATTTATTACTACGGTAAAAGTCAATAGATCGCAATTTTTTGGACTTTAAGATGCAGAAGAAAATTCGAAGATAGGTAATACACTTTAAAAATCATGCAAGCTGTTCCATTTAAATCAATTCAGCATTATTTCCTAAGAGTTATACAGGGTTTACCATAATACGTGGACATTACTTTAGTGGTTGATTCAGCACATAAAAATAATAAAAAATATTCATATAAACGCATTGTCTTATCAGACCTTATTTCCAAATTACAACCGTTTCTGTCTTCCAGTAATTCTTTCGACAAGCTGAGCGCTTCATTCAACTTTTTATAAGACACGCTTGATATTTCATGCACTGTTTTACCGACTACATATTATGAACAGGTCAGAAGGTCAATGATAAAGCTCTAAAGTGGTCACTTCGAACAATTTCTCTGAAGACAGGTGAACAACTGATACAACACAAAAACGGCTGTAACTTGGAAACAAAGTCAGATAGAACAAACATTTATTTGAACTTTTTGGACTATTTTTGAGTGCTGAATTCATCACTGAAAATATACTACCTATATATTATGTTACTATGTACTTGGAATCTGGAAATCTTTTTTCTTTTGTGTAGTCACAATCAACTTTATTGTAAGTGTAGATGTTTTGGTAATTTCAAGGCCAAACTTGTTTTCTTTAAACGAAACTAAGTACTTTTACTTTTTTACATAGTACATACCAACCGATGTATCTCTGCATTTGTGTACGAGAGAAAATCGTTAGTTAAGAAGATATTAGATATTCTAGTTTGTATACAGAGTGTCTGAATTAACTGAGAACGGTTAAAGATTTCGTAAGCGAGCGAAGATATGGCAAAATTGTTTCTACAAAACTTGTCCTATACAGAGGAGGACATTACATAGTGTACATAGTGTAACTCAGACAACACTCTAAGTATGTAACCTCGCAAACAAAACTAAAAATTTGAAACAGTACTTCACAGAAGTAATGTTGGATTCATTTAATTGAGCCACCTTGTAGAGGTATTATCAATAACGTTTCAAGTGTTGAAGTTAACGCAACTAAATAATAGTTGTTATTTTATTATACAGACGACAATTCAAGTCTATTTTAAAATATTAAAACGAAACAAGTTTTACTATGATTTTAATTGCTGTGCGTAAATACGAGTATGGTAATAGTATTTTCTTATAAATTCGATGTTGTTTGTTACAAAACTACATTTTGAAATAAGTAATTATTTACCTTTACCTTGCACTGCGATAAATTTACTTTATTCAAATTGATTAACAATGGGAATGTTATTAGGCAACATGTGGGGCACTTGTGAAAATGGAACCGAAGCTAATGGATGTGGAAGACCAGAGACGTTCCGAAATTGTGCCGATGTGAGCATCATTACCAGCACAGCTGGTGTGCCTCCCCTCTTTGTACAACAGGATAATCCCTTTTTGCTTTATTACAAAGACTACCGTTCGCCAAACAACATATTCCCACTCGTCATCAGGTATACGCTCTTTTAATTTACAATATACGGATAGTGAAATATTTTCTTCTTCGATAAGTGACTTACTAATAATGAAAAGATTTATTTTTAAAACCTTCCCTTATAATTTACAAGTTTGCAAATAGGCTACGCGTGAAACTGAGGTAGAATTATTCGATCGTTTTAGATATAGAAACTGTTAAATGTAGTATTTCTCCGGCACAATACAAGGTATAGTTTGAATTACGAACACAGTTTTCAGGGGTGAAATTATTCACTAAACTGATCAAGTTTCTCACTCGAAGTGGTCTGAACAAGTTCGCCTTACACTGTTGTATCTCTTACGAGCTGTCGTAAAGTATAAACGTAGAACATTTTTTAGTGTGACTCCTGGCCCTAAGGTGGATGTGCAACAAAAAAGTGCGAGCCCACCCTCCAGTCAATTAGCTTATAGCGCCGTGCACTAGTTAGAGAGAGAGGAGACATACCGAGAAGAGAAGAGAAAGTAAAGGCGCTTTTTCTTGAGATCGTCTGAACGGCTCATAAGTAAAGCTGGTGCAAACAACCTCAACCCCTATCTTAGACACTTATGCAGGATATTCAGCCACTTTGAGAAAAATTTTAAGTGGTATTTCTAGAAGTCAAGAATAAAAAAATTGCGTTTGAAACTTCGTTTTTTAGTTATTAACAATTAAAATTTGTGCTTGATGCTGGTAATTTTAAGCGAAAAAAGACACGCTTACCTGGTAATAGAAACTGTTACAAGGGTTGACACAATTTTGCGAAATTTTTACAGTGAAAGTTCAACATGAATCCTAGAACGATATGAAATCTGCCTACTCGTAAAAATCCACGAGGACGTGATGAAATCCGCGTTTCAACAACAGTGAAAATTGCAAACATTAAGAAGTTGCTTACATGTATCTTTAGTGTTATCTTAACTTTAATAATGTACTGTTATTAGTGATGATTCGTGGTTATTAAGGTTAAAATGTTATTCTGTAACGAGAATCGTTAAATTTATGTATACTAGTCTTATTCACAAGTGAAAAAGTGTACCTGATGCGATCTTATCTTTCTACATATCGTGTTACCGTCTTTGCTGGGAAAAACACATGCATACAACGTAGGACTACTATAATACTGTTCTTGTATGCATTCTAGAGGACAAATTGTATTGATCGAACAAAGTTACTTCTCTACCGATACTTTTAACTTGATAATTTTTAACGATGTAAAAATTCGTTTAATATACATTTTTGCAGTTTAATCGTGAAGCTAAATCCTTGTAAATTCTTAACTTTCTAATCTTCATGTCAGTTTTAAGTTGATTAAGTAATTTGGAAACTTCTAAACTTGTTACGCATTAGCTGATTATTTAGAGCAGTGTAAGCATAATTTTTCGATTCGAAACAATAAATGGCAAGTTTGTCAGCGAGGAAGTTCTTTTATTTCTGCAGAACATACACTAACAGAAAACTAGATAATATTACCGGGTGCACACATGACACGTGAAAAATATTAACAATCGATGTTTTCGTTTCAGATCGCAGGTGTGCATGCCTACGCCTCTTTATCGACGCATACCGGGAATGAACGACTGGTGCCAAACCAACTGTCTTCGTTACCCTCCAAACTGTCCAACAGCTATTTGTCAATGCCCGTAAGATGTTACAGATAACAGCAGCATTTCATAACTTTTCCAAAATGATTCGACATCAAACAACTTCGAAGCCTGACAGTTATTCTTAAACTTCTTTTTTTATTTCTTATTTCGTTTTACTATTAAGTGGTACGCGTATCTATAAGAATTACATATCATTTTATGTCTAACTAAAGTGACAAAAGTAAATTTGTTTTTCATTTAATCGTAACTAGTTTAATAGTGTTTAACTAATAAAATTCAACATTATTTAAGAAAAAATTAAATTTTTCAAAAAATTAACATATTTTTCTATATCTGTTTCGATAGGGAAGTGTGCGATGCAATTGGAGATGTTGCTGGCAAAGATGGTGCAAGCGTTTATTGCATGGACCAGTGTCTCGTCTACCCACCTAACTGTCCTTCTCATCGCTGTCGCTGTTATTAAATAAACGAAAGCTACATACTCGACAATAGTAGTTTTTCGATGATTAAAGTGACTGTATTACATATTAGTGCAAGAAACTATTTTTTGTAACCTTAATTGCGTCCGTCATTTTCTGGTTTTGGTCCTATTTCAACGATCAATTAAATTCTAACTTTAATCAAATCAGCTTGGATTAAACTTTTGGGCTGGAGTAGGAATACCTAATAGTAAGAGAAAAAATTGGATAACTTCTTTCTATCATTATTTACTGCATGATGTTCTTTTTGTAACGATTTAGTAGTTTTATTATACTTTACAATTTATGTACTGCTTCATATATTTCCTTTTTTATACGATAAACAGGTAAACCACATTTGGTTATTTTGCCCGAAATATATAGAGTACCTCACCTAAGACCGAACACTTAAAATCTCCTGGATTTTTGATGACATCAGAAATATTGCAAACACAATTTGAATGGTTTCAAAAGAGAAGTATCGTAAATAGAACATTTTTTCGAATTTTTCTTTAGATCACCAGTATTTTTTGCCAGAAAGCCTATACTTTTTTTCTATTGCATCTTATAACGCTTATTAAGAAACATTCAAATGTGTTTAATATATGACCTTCAAGTCACCTTGAACATTGAAAAAATAATGAAATTCTGAGACAATGTTAGGGTGGTAAATGAACATACTTTTTATGTCACAAATCCTCGAAGTGATATCCATCAGCGACGATACACTGTCTAAAATGAGAAATCACGGACTGTGATTCATGTCTTCCGGAGTGGTAGATAATTATTGTTGTTAGACGCTGAATATATCGAATTATGTTCATCGACATTTTAGATCGTGTATCACCACCGATGGTCTTCACTTTGAGCATCTATAACATAAAAAGTAACTTCACATGCTAACATGATTTCAGAATTTAATTAGTTTTTAGATAGTCAGTCATCTCAAGGTCATAAGTTAGACATATTTGAATGCATCTTAAGACGTGTTACAAGGTGCTGTTAGGAAACGTACTCTTCTATTTCGTGGTTAGTTTTTACGCGTTTCTCACAAGTCAAATTAATATTGTGTGAGGTGTTTGTGTTTGTCGAAGAACGGATACTTAATGATTGCCGCGGTATTTGTTGTGTCGTGTTTGACTCTATATAGTTTGACTTTCGTGTGAATCTATTATGAATCTTTTCTTTAAGACTTACACCTATTAAGAATGAGAAAATAGGCGATTACACGGTTGGTAAATTATTGAGCTTTTCAGACCCTGGGTAGTCCTCCTACGACCTCGAGCATCCCGCCCACCTTGAAGGATGGTAAGTGGTGGTACCGATCAGCGGAAGGACCAGGTCCAAGGGTGAATGGACTTACTGTCCGACAAACCTAAAGTGAAGCCTCTGACGTCACGCAGGGCCTAAAAGTGGGAGATGTAGGGGAACTTGCGACGGCTCGCTATTAGTAAGCCAATAGGGATAGCATAAGGCTATCGCACTTACTCTTCTATGAACAACAGATGACGATCGGGTCGTGTTCGAGCAGTCGGTAAACAGATGAGCAGTCGATAATTGACCGAAATGATATTTTCAAGCGTTCGAAAAAAAATTAAGTTTACGTCGCGCAGACACCATAAACAGGCGAACAGATGCCTGCACGACGTCAAACGACTATTATTTCGATAAGTTTATTTTACAGGTTAAAACTCAAATTTTTTCAAAATTATTCTGAGTGGAAACGAGGACAAGGCAACCAAATAATTTTTAGCTTTTCGTTCATTTAACAGCGTGCCACATTATCGACAGCTGACTGAAATTCATTTGTCTAAACCAATTACCTACAATAGCAGTCGATAATTGACCGAAATGATATTTTCAAGCGTTCGAAAAAAAATTAAGTTTACGTCGCCATAAACAGGCGAACAGATGCCTGCACGACGTCAAACGACGTGCATCCTGGTAAACTTAATTTTTTTATCCCAAGTTCCCAAAATTTGTCTATTATTTCGATAAGTTTATTTTACAGGTTAAAATTCAAGCAATCCAATGGTATTTTTTCAAAATTATTCTGAGTGGAAACGAGGACAAGGCAACCAAATAATTTTTAGCTTTTCGTTCGTTTAACAGCGTGCCACATTATCGACAGCTGACTGAAATTCATTTGTCTAAACCAATTACCTACAACGCAACTTCCCCTCAAGCGCCAGCAGTGTAAGACCCAAGAGTAGTGGGGATGATCTGATCCGCCTATTTCGCCTTCATCTAACCAGGCAAAGTGTAAGACCCAAGAGTAGTGGGGATGATCTGATCCGCCTATTTCGCCTTCATCTAACCAGGCGATGACGTCAGAGACTTCGCGTTTGCTTTGCCAGTCAATATGTAGTATTAACAGTCCGAATAGGCAAATGGGAGTATAAGGAGTATTGAAAAGAATACTTGATTTAATCTCACTATAATATATTTAGTATTAGGACATTCTATTGACAGTTTAAAATAGTACGCATGTATCACATATTATATATGTAACGAATAACATCCTTCCTACTTTTACGTATACGTGTGCTTGTACATGCCTACATACACGTAAAAGCAGCTACACATAACGAAACGATCAGTTATTTAATTACGCGTCGTGAAACTTTTTCAAGACAACAATTCTTTCCACAAACATCATGGTGCACTGTACGCGAGTGCATGCAGTATTCATCGTGTGTATTTCGGTATTTCAGTGAAAACTCGTAGTTTATATCGGCCTCGACTAATATAAATAACACGTTGGCTCAACATTGTAGGGCTTGTCTTTTGTTCATGACTATACATCGTTAACACTTTACAAAACTATATACACTAAAGCCTTTTATACTCTATAACATGTTTTCAAGTTTCTAAATAGTAACACTTTTTCTGTATTTCATTGTTTGCACATATTTGAATATATGTGGTAATAATTTGGTAATCAGTTACCGAGTGTATTCTTTAACGAGTTAATATAGCTTTAAAATAAGTCGCGACAGACACGTTTGTTTGTTGCTTTGTCATTTTCAATCCTTGTAGGTGGTATTTATCATCTAATATCGTTTAAGCAGCTATTTAACGTCCATAATTCATTCAGACTGTGACGAATTCTATATTTATACTTAGATTCCATTCCACTTTAGACTTATTTTAATCTCTTTTACGTTTCATTGCATCGACAAACGACCAATTCTTATTAGTTCCCTCGTGTAAACCTTTAACAATTTCTCTTCCACCTGCAGATGCTTTTTTGCTGTTTTCTTCTTATTCTAGTTCTCCTCGCAATTCTCTCCACCTCCAATATGCCAATACACGAAAACAATTCAAAAGGATCATACCTTCAATTTCCCTTTCATTTACACGGACTATGATATTATAATTCATTGTCAAACATCGATACACGAGGAGCATTAAAAGTTAAAGGACTGAAACGCAGAATGCGTATTGGGACGTATTCGAAGCAATTATAATTCACGTTCTATTCGTCTTAATGCAACAATCTCACCGAATTAAAAGTTTCATTCGAGCTTTATGTTTTCGCGTGACAATCTTTCCATTATAATCACTTATGATTAAAGCTTACATCTCAAAGTTTGTTTGAATTGCTATTACAAAAACATTCATGTTCCAACGAGTTGAAATGATATTTTCGTGAGAAAAAAAAAAAATAGCATATCCTGAAATGAACGTTGTCGGTGCGATAAGTGCTTCTACACTAGTATCTGAATTGTAATAATTTACTAGATACATACATATCTTTAGCACACTCGTTACGACGACCTAGCGATGAATCCATCTAATATAAAATGCAGATAAAAAATATCTTGGGACACGTCAAGGATCGCTGAAATCTTGAATCCGTCACCCCTTTCCTCACCACTGTATCGCTTAAAATTATTCTCATTTTTGTCAATGCTATCTGCCCTTTTTTTTTTGCTCTTTTTCTTTTTATCGCAACGATAAGACAATTCTATTCTAAAACGTTAGTCTTAGAATTTGTTACATTCATTTTTGGAGAAGGGCCGAAATTCAGGTACATTTTCAGTCTTCTGCTGGTAAACATGGCTCATTTTCATCTACTTATTTCGATTAAACAAATAGATAATATCGAGAAAATTATGATTTCTCGCCGACGTTAAAAAAAATTAAAGAACATGTAAAAAATAACCCTAAGAATACTCTATTGTTTAATGCTTTCAAGTTTTTCATTTCACACATTGTATTTAACGAGTGCCAATTTAATTATTCTTTTTATCAAATAAAGATAAGAACAATCTTACAGATGTTCATGTCGATTACAATACGTTACCAAAGTTAAAATAATCGATCATTTTCTGGTGCTTGTAATTATTATAACGAAGTGTAGTAATTTTTCTGCTCGTTTATATATATGTATATGATTTATAGTCTACATTACGTCTGAGCTAGGTTTACCCGTAAATTACGCTATACTTTAAGTTATATTTGTACTATTAGCGAATCTATAGATGGAGGAGAAACAAGAGGTACGTTCTGATTGTTTTGCTTTGTACACGATTAGCGAGATGTGAGCTTAAATCGACCTAAAGTATTACGAGAAACACGATTAACCCCTATCAACAAATCAAACAATCTTTCCTCTCCAAGAGTTTCTTCCCGTTACTTTTCGCCCGAGGACGCGAACAAAACGTTTATAATTAAATCACGTCTATTACATGTCATTTCGTATCACAAAACAACGGTAGTTGACTTAGAGTAAAATATAACCTACAAGTGAGCTATTTCAATTGTTTTTTGTATTTGTCTTTATGGGTTTTCAAATATCAACCTTTCTTTACTTATACTTATAAATCATCGTATAATTAGCGCCTCCAAACGATAATAAAATATTATAAAAAATATTTCGCAAAAAATTGCCTAACAATACATATTGTTGTTTCATCTCTTCAAAGTAATCTCAAAGTAATTATCAATCGTTATAACTTGTACTTGGTTCTCATTTATGAACGTCGTCCTTTTACATTCGTAATACTGATATCGTTTGCACGTATATGTAACTGCTAGTGAAAAAATAATCGCCAACCGATCATGTATATATCATCAAATATTTACACACACGTTACTATAATATTTCAGTTTGTCCATAAGATGTTTATTTTACCAATTATTTAGAACATTCGAAGAATTAAAAGAAACGTGAAATAAGATGGCGCTTGGAGATTCAGGACGCACAACGATCCTTTCGATTGCCCCTTGTACAATAACAAGATCTTCAAACGATAGCGAACGGAGTCCATTGTAACGTAGATTCACGATTAAAACGGTAACAAACAGAGCGGTAATGTGTATCACGTATATAAAATGTCATTGCGAAAAGAGAACAAAAGTAGATGTTTCATTTACTTTAAAGCTTATCTGCGAATAAGTGTTGCATGCTTCGTCAAATGAGACTTCGTCAATGGTAACGTACATGTAATACCATTCTTCTTCGCGGTACAGTAAATTCTCCACAAGTGTCAGTCCGCAAGGAATCTAAACCTGACACTTGTAGAGTCAGGGACTACGTTTTCGAGCCTCGCGCCCGCCTTTGTAGTTTGCCGAACGTAGACAAGGACAGCGAATAAAGATAAGGATGAAACGTGAGTCGAGGCAACCAAGAGATTTAAATACCAACTTTTTTAATTTTACGTTTTTTTATCCCGAAATTTTTCTTAACATACTGATGAGATTTTTCTGATGAAAATGACATCAAACACGACATTATTTGAACAACATTTACTTATTAACACGTTCACTGTCTGGCGTGACAGTGAATAAATAAATATTGTTCAAATTATATCGTGTTTGATCTCATTTTCATCAGAAAAATCTCACCAACATGTTAAAAAAAATTTCAGATGAAAAAAAGTAAAATTAAAGAAATTATATTTTTCTATTATGAATTGTCGAGCCGTGAAATCTCGTAAAAGAAACCGAGTGGTGTAGCGTTTACACGCTTGACTGGCAGCGAGCGAGATAACATAGGCGCAGCAATGACGCAGCCTAGGCGTAGGACCATCTATACTGACACTTGTAGAATCCAGACTGACACTTGTGGAGAATTTACTGTATATCGCTTCGTTCAAGTCATAGTCGATGAAACTATCTTTGCTAACGTCGCGATTAACAGAATAATCTCAATACCTACGCCATACCGTACCTACTCGCACTGACTCGCGTATTATATTCTCATTTTCATAAGGATTACGAACTGTAATATATCATTCTCATCTTATTACCAACTACTTATTTTCAATAAGGATGTTTATAGTAGCTAAATTGAGCTCTTGAATTAACAGTACGATCGTCGTGAATATGTTAGACTTCTTAATACTAGCCTCGAGTGCCCGGAACTTTTTCTACGAAACGTATCACCATCTTTTCTAAACGAACACTCCTTTTAGAAAACGCTAACGTTTATTTCACGTCTGTATAGTGAACATTTTACTGTCCGAATTATAATAATCCCCGTTAATGGAATCTTAAATTGATCCTCGTCATTTCTCGTAGCAAGATCTTGCCGTTAATAACAGAATAAACGATGAATCTTGTCGATATACTTTAACAACAGCTTCATCTTATGCTCTTATCGTATTCGTCGACTGTCAATCGAATCTTTGTCACATAAATTACAATCAGACTGACCTATTCCGTTAATTCAATTACATTCCACGAAACGCGATTGTTTCTGAGAGGTGGGGCAGAGGGGGGCGATGTACACACATATATACCATTGTTTCGCGCATTTCTCGTGTAATTCTCTACGGAATCGCCATTTAAACATAATTTTATTCAGACAAACGAGCACTACCTAGTACTATCGTTATCGTCTTAATTTTTATAGCGGTTAACAACCATCGCGAATAAATGACCGCCAACCATTTCTCCTCCCTACGGAAAGAGAAGGTGCATCGCATAGTGTTAGAGACTCAAGGGATCTCGATACTGGGGCAGTAACAGTATCGAGAACCCAGCGCTACTAAATGCTACATTTCTCGAATAGATGCTTTCAGAGAACTAGACTCGACATTTCAGGTAATAAACAAACGAATCGTTATTACTATATTCTTTTCCCATATTTCTTCCTCTCGTTCCTTATATTTATCTTCATCTAATTACGAAGAACAGCGAGTAATTACGGTTTATCTACTGAGTTTCTACGATTCAAGTGGAACAGCTTCGTTTTACCTGTACCCTTTGAGATTAATAATCGTTAACAGGCCGTTGTAATTCCAGGCCGTGAACAGATTAAAATTACATTAAATTAAACACTTATAACGTATTGCGTAAACGTATAGCTAACATTTAGTTCGAATAACACTGAAATATCACAACGTTAAAGTGATCTTATTACAAGCTGCGATCTAAATCACTTACACGTTTAACGTATAATTTACAATCTAAAATTATTTCGTTGAACAATGCACCATTGGGATTTAACTGTACGTACATGTGTCATCGTGAAACCTTTCATCAGTTGTCACCTTGTACAAACCGACGACGATCTAATTTCAATCTATAATCTATAAGTTCTCCTTTAGAAACAGCATTAAAGAAATCTGCGAGCTGCAGGATCGGTCAACGGGCTCATAGTTGACTGGCACCCCCAGACGCATCGTTGCATTTAATACTTTTGCAATACACGAAGTGAACGGAAATTTTAACTCCCAATAGTACACGTTATCTTATCAAATATATCTACTCTCCTACTTGAATAGAGAAATAGGTTTAAACATCGTGGATCACACTTCATTGTTTAACGGACTGATACGGTTCTGTTTGTGGTTTCTTTAGTTACGCCGCATTGTCTTTACAGGTTAATCAAGTGTACATCAAACACTACAGTTTGTTACATCTAAAAGGCGTACTCCCTTCGAACCTACGTACAGTGAAAGAAAAAGAAAAGTGACATAGACTTTGGTACACTATACGCTTACATGTATTGTTGTGTTTACCAAGGCGAACAAAACGGTCAAATGTTTCCCATATTGGCATTGATAATATTAAGCATCACGTGCTTTGTTGAAATCTGTGTGTCACCGTACGAGTGTGAGAGATTTAGTGGCGTATAGACACGCGAGTACCCTCCCTTCGGAGCATTTGCAAAATTTTCCCACTTTTCTCTGCGATAGAAACGATTTTCTTTCCCGTCGAACATTACGGCTAAACATGTAAACATATAATAATCTAACAACTAGTCAGTCTGTCTTTAAGAATTAAGTAAAAAAAAAGGAGAACAGAAAGAAAGAAATCTTTATTACGCGCTAGCTCGGGCACTCGAGCTTGGTACAGCGAAGGAAAATGGAAATTAAAGTTGTGAATGTTTATATGTAAAATGTATGTTTAGTACCAATGCAAAGTTATAAGTAACCTAAGGTCGCGTAGGTTTTCACATAGGGTGCATCCACTCGACAGTTTTCCCTGAAACAAATTATGAAGGTTCAGCACATTAGTTGAAGTACAGTAGATTAATCGCGTTAATTGAACGCGGCTCGTATCAGACAGCGTTAAATTAACGGAGATTTAGCAAGCTTTTCTAGCAACAAAATGATCAAACTGGAATGACTCTCGTTGTTGATGAATTACAATTACAGTGTAACAATAGAAGAGCGAGTAAAATGGCAAATCTATCGACTACAGCCGACCAATTACCGATTATTTTTCAATTACACACACGTGTGAGAAAATCCGTCCCGAAGACGGTGAAGCGAGCATCTTGAAGCCAGGGCCTGGCTTCTTTTCCCTGGGCCTGTTCGCGTAGGGGTGGAACGTATACTTTTGCAAGCGACGTCCGATTAACGTGGATACAGATTCTGAGTAAAATATATCATTGTGGAAAATGTAGATACGTTCGGTGAATTTTACGCCCACCCTACGCCAAGTCGAAATTTTCTTGCTTGTGTAATTTCCAAAAAGTGGGGTAACTTTCCAGGAAAGGGTTACACCATTGTAAAATTGTAAAGGCTACACGAGCAAATTTCTTTTGGAAAATATCTGCGATATTATTGCAACAATCACTGTATTGCAAACTATTGCTTCGTTGTTCAAGTAAAATCTAGGAAATCGATAATTCAAAATTGGATTTTTGACACGTAACCTTAGCTTATAGGAATGCTAATCCAACCGTCTTCGCTGTAGCAGTCGTCGTCAAGTGTCGAGTAGCCGATGACAATAGCGCTAGCGGCCTCGGTATCTATAGGGTGTCCTGCGTACAATTTCGGCGAAGCGGCAACTGTTCTGATATTGCCGACAGTCTATGTAGATATTCGGCGGTCCAGTTCGACTGATCAACAAGATGATTAGGTAAGATTAAAATCCACGCTTGTCCACGAAATTCGTCACCCTGTAGATACCGGGCCCATACTCGACACTTGACGACGACCACTGTAGCGAAAACGGTTGATTAGTAACATCCGGATAGACAGCACTCGATGCGCAGTTTCAATGTATAGTACTGAAAGTTTTTTATTAATATCTTGGAAACTGATTATTGACTGAAGCTAATATATTACATTTGGGGCCCACCCACCTTCTTCCCCCTTCCCACCAAAGTTCGCGTTGATCGGCGATCGGAGCCTTTCGTTTTTTTTTTCAAAATTTTCCCTTCGAAATTCCTTTTCATGTTAATGATGTGAACGATACGAACCACTTTTTACAGGTCGCGAATGATTGATTCCAGCGACAGTGCAACCACCGTTTTGTAGCTGTGGCGTGGTTTTAAAGTGGTTCATCTGACAATGAGTTGGGTCTAAAGCTCGGCTCTCCTAGATAGCCTTACCGACGGAGTCCTCTAGGAGGCCCAGGGTGAAACGTATTTTTCTTTCCATTTTCTTTCCCGCTTGGGTAGAAGAATCTTATTTAGAATTATTTTTGAATGTTTTCACTTATTCAAGAAAGGAAGGGACAACGTGCATATTCGAGTGAAAAGAATATTGTTTTTTTTTCTGCCCGTTTATGCGTATGCCTTTTGATACTCCTCAGGTTTAATCGAAGACACGTTTGTATTGTTTTATCTACATACATACAGTTACTTTGTGGACATCGTTTTTCTTACAATTAACTATCTCCCTCTTCGTTGTTTTTACATTGTACGAATGATTCTCCGTTTTGAATATAGTAAGTAACAATTTTACAATTGTAAGCGCAAAAGTGATACAAGTGAATATTACGATGGATTAAACAGAAAAATGTATACTTACTCGTCTTCCCACGGGCACACTTCGTTAACGTTATTGTCACGCTTTTGCTGAGTCGTCGGTTGAGTAACAGATGCTATTTGATCGTCCTGTTGGGTGTCCGGCTCCCAAACAGGAACAACCTGCGCCTCCTCCAACGATTCCACGGTCTGCATTTCTACTTGAGTGATAATCGCTGAATTTCCCTCCGAGGTAATTGCTGCTTGATCAGCTTTATCAGGCTCCAATTCTCGCTTTCTCGTTGCGACTTCTTTCCCTTCTTCCTTTATTACTCCTGCCGCACAGTTGTTGTCTGCCTTCTCCACAACTTCAACCGTCGAACTGTCGCTCGGTAGATCACCTACGATCGCGCTAATGCTTATCAGAGGAGCTTTGGTCAAAGCTTTCGTCGTCACTTCCCTCTCGAACGACGAGACTTTTGACCTCGTGTTACTTTCGACCCCCTCAGAAATACCTTTTCCACTTGCAGATGTCTCTGTCGATTTCTCAGTTATCACATGACTATGCTCGAACGAATGTTGCGGCGAGGATGGGTAATTACAGAACGAAGCAGATGGTCGACCGATTTCCGCGAGCTTTACTCTTCCGCTGGTTGAGCCGATTGAATAGTTTCGCGTTGTTATACTGAATCCACCGCTGGTTCGTTCTGCGGTGGTTGTTGTTGCACCAGCTGAATCAAACAAACAATTATGATTGAGTTGTTAAGCACTGCGTACTGTAATACAGTCTGACCGGTTGCACGCGGGAAGTATAGCAAGGGTTAATTCTACACACTGAAATAAGAAAAGTAAGTGTACGCACAATGTAACATATGCCCAATGTAACCTTGTTTTTGAGGTACAGTTTGTTTTGTGTTGCAACAATCTTTCCTGCGTATAAAATACACACAATGTAATTGGCTCGCTGTGTTTCTGCAAGATTTGAGGGCCATGAGATCAGACGAATTTGTGAACAATATTAAGTATTGTATTATGAATGGAACTGTCAGTATACGAGCTACGTTCAGCGATGCTTATTGTGAGCTGCGGATAATCGTCACTTTGTGTACAAAATAATGAGTTATTTATGCATGGACTTGCACAGTTTAATGCTGTAAGAGCTGGACTGTTCCTAATCGGCGGTTGCCCGAGAGAAAAGTCTTTCAGAACGTCTTCGAAATACTAGCTCTTTTAAGAATTCTAATTCATGCAAGAGTACCAGAAGTGTTAATTGAGAAGCACAAGTGTTAAATTGCGTTGCACTAAACAAACTGTAATTCGAACACAAGGTCATATCGGACATATGTCTATACGAACTTTTTTTCTTATTTTAGTGTGTAGAATTCATTCCTTACATATGGGGTGTCCTATTTAAATTGACCCACTGGAATATCTTCGAAACTGTTGATGATACAAAAAAAGGGTTTCAGACAAAAGTTACATTGTCTGGTACGAGTACATTTGTTTCCTATATAGAGAGGGTACGCCGCCTTCACGCGGGCGTCGTGCGGAGTATGATGTTATACGGAGCACCCGTGTGGGCGCGCGAACTGGTTGAGCAAGATACAGAAAAAATCTACTCACAGCAGATAATGTGCCCCCTGGAAACATTCAACTTGTGTCTGAAACATTTTTCAGTATTGTCAACAGTTTCGAAGATATTCGAGTGGGCCTGTACAGTAAATTCTCTACAAGTGTCAGTCAGTTTGGATTCTACAAGTGTCAGTATAGATGGTCCTACGCCTAGGTCTGCGTCATTGCTGCGCCCATGTTATCTCGCTCGCTGTCAGTCAAGCGTGTAACGCTACACCAGTCGGAAAAACATAATTTCTTTAATTTTACTTATTTTCATCTGAAATTTC